CAGGAATTGGGGGGAACCATCTCTCCCTAACCATGTGCAAACCAAACCTCAGAGACACGTAAACGTCACGACTGTAAGTGTGAACACGTTTTGCTTTTGTTTGCATTTTCTTTTGCAGACGGGAGAAAATAACTGCATTTTCCTGAGGCAAGAGGCTTCTTTCCACCTACTGCCTGGAGTACAGCGTGGGTTCTGCTCGTGAGGGACTCACCCTACCTTAAAGGTCTTCAGAACCTCTTGAGAGCTCTTGGGCTGGGAGTAAGGCTTGGGTGTCAGCATAGGCACTGCTTTGGGAGCAACAGTTTTGCTTGGAGACCCGCTGCCTGCTGACATGCTGGCATCCAGAATGCTGGTACGAGCGATGGTGGTTTCCACAGTGGCAGTGAATTTGGGGGGAGGCAGTGACTGCTGCCGCAGGTATTTCATGGGGTTGGGATCGTTCAGGAAGGGGGAGAAGTTTGGCTCCGTTGAATGGCTTCTCTCCAGGATTTTTGGCATCTCCAAGCGTTCCAGGACAGCCTCGCTGATGGTGAACCTCTCGATGTACTGCTGCAGGATCCCCTCCGCCTCCTCCTGGGACCGCGCGTTCTTATACGCCTCATGCAGCTCCCTCTCTCTCCGCTCTCTGCAGCATGGGCATGGGAGAGAGAAGCAACACAGAGGTCAGTGGCAGTCACAAAAACTGCAGGGAGCTGCAGAGACAGCACAGGAGCCTCTGTGATCACCAACAATTTTTCGCAAAAACACATCTAGATAATATTGTACATTCAACAACAACAGAAAGGACCCACTTTTCTTGAACAATTTCTCTGTAGGTTTTGATGCTTTTCCTCCGTTCACTTGTCCCATCCTCTCCAGCCATTAATTTCTCCATTTTTTTCCTTTCTTCCTCTTTCTTGATTAAGTCCTGAGAAGCACTTCTTCTACGGCTCTTCCACCGAGCCAGGTCCTGGGGGCGGGGGGGGCGGGGGGGTTGGCGGAGATAAAACATATTTTTCAGGCTTTTAAAATTCCATTTCTACTTTTCAGAGTTTAGTGGGCACTGACTATGGGCCAGGCACCATGCTAGGGCATTCCCACCCAATCCAGGGGAGGTCTGGTTGGAATAGGAATGCCCCGAAGGCAGGACGCCTCCCGGAGCAGGGCAGCACGTTTACTTAAACATGGCAATGTGAAATCTGCAATCATATCCCACGGCAGTTTCCAAATGTTAAAGTATTGCCTCACAGGGGGGATTTTAAAAAACGTCATTTCTTGCTTTTTATGATTTCTGCATTGTGAGTGGACTTGTTGACAGTACAATGGTAGGAATTAACCACAGACCTACTCTATGCCCTCAGGGAAGAATGAAAAGGCAGGAAAAAAATCAGCTTTGGGGTCTCACAGAAACTGCAATTCTGTATGTATTAACTTTTCAGATCCTTATAACAACCTCACCACAAAACCTACAGGCAATTACAGCCTAAGGACGAAGAGTTACGATTCTGGAGTCGGATGGATGGGACTGCAGCTGGGACATGATCCCAGCTCCCTCTCTTCCATGCTTCGGAATCACACTTCTCAGCCTCTCTGCCCCTCAGTTTCCTCATCTCTAAAACAGGGATGATATTAACACCGACTCTTACAAGCTTATTGTGAGAGTTAAATGAGACAGTGCCTATAAGGTACCAGGCACATAGGAAGTGCTCAATACACTGTAGACACAATTATCATGACAATTAATTGACTAATGGTAGAGTCAGGTTTGCAACTGCTATCTTGGAGTGCTCTGTGAGGACTGAATGAAACAATCCACTCTCCCTCCCCTCATTCCTACCTTTAAGTTCTTCCCCCGACAATCTCAAGGCCCCCGTCAAACCCCCCAGCCTTCCTTCCCTAGCTCTCTCACTCACTAGCTGTGTGACTTTGGGCAAGTTACTCAGCTGTCCTGGAACTCATCTGTGGAATTGAGGACGATGGTAGTAGTTGCTGGCTCATCAAGTTACTAAGAGGATTAAAGAATTATTACATGCACAGCACTTAGAATAGTGCCTGTTACTGATGCGCTTTCAATGTTGGTAATTATCGTTTTCATCATCATCATTAATGTCAAATCTATAATCTCAAAAGACGTGCCTCCTCAATTCTACATCTCGTGCCAGTTGCTTCCCGCGGGTTCCCCGCTCCTGTGTGGCCATCCTCCTAGGATACTGGCGGATTATTTGTCTGTCATTTACCCCTCACCCTTCATGTTGCTATTTTAACCTTCCGTTAATGCCCGCATTTACTGTGTCCCTGTTTGAAATCCCCTTCCCCTGCATGGCTTTCAAAGCCAGGCCTACCCACCCCACCGGATTTTCTGCTTCAAAGGGCCCCTAACCCACAGCGCTGGCAGCCTCCCGCTGCCCGCCCCGGCCGGCCGGCACTCACATCTTGCCATTTGTCGTCCTCTTCCCGCAGCTGGCTGTTGATCAGCTGCAGCTGCTCCTGGCGGGCCCTGCTGTGCGGCTGCACTGCAGCCTCCTCCTCACACCGCATGTCAAACATACTCGTGCTCCTGAGTGTGGAGAGAGCGGAGACAAAAATGGACCGGGATCAGCGCCTTGGGCTCTGCGCGTTCTGGGCCGCTCCGCCGCGTGGGGGCGCTACCGCGCTCGCTCGGGAAACTGTCCCTCGCCCTCAGCCAGCAGCGTGCACGCCAGCACCCCCACCGCTCCTCCTGTTGCCGCAAAAGCCAAACTGTGACCATCTTTGTCTTCAGGGGTCAATATGATTATACAAGTAGGTGCCAAAGCATGTTTAAAGGAGAGCTAGAAAGGTATGCGAAGCTCTGGGTTTCTCTCATTTGGAAATGCATTAGAAAAAAGAAAAAGAAAAAAGAGAATGGAAAGGTTTAACTCCGGGAGAGTTTGCGGAGAAGGAGGGTGGCGTTCCACCAGGAGAAACTTCATTACAGCACATGCTCTTTGTGTAAAGACCTGGCCTAAATGCTTTCTACATGAACTGAGGCAATCTCTCCATTAAAAAAAAATCACATGGCCTGAAGTCTAGACACCCATCTTTTCATACTGCGCTAGGTTATGAATTGTGGATGCATCCAACAACTGCGCTTAGTGATGCATGTGTGTTTGATGTGGTTATTTCTACTTTCTATAAATCTGCAAGTTGATAGTGCAGTTGATGGAATCTTGGAATCAAGAAAATAAGGTATTTTATATTAAGATTAAGGAATAAAATATATAAATCACTATATACTTTGTATCCTAAGATTCTCAGAATCATTTTACTTCATTTTTGTCAGGATACCTCTGAATTTACTCTTTCAAAAGAAAAATATAGGGAAAACCATTTAAAACCTTAATATATTCTATAGGCGCTTATGAAATGGTAAGCTAGACCCTGAGGTCTTTCCTGTAATGCTTACATAGAGCTTTGTTCCAGCAGAAGCTTAAGCAGCAAGATGGAAACAGAAATAAAAACCAAAGCAAAGTCCTCCCTTCTCTTTCTTTTTCCCTCTCAAAGAAACGAGGAGCTCTGGGACCACCTGGGTTCCACAGTCCCCAAATCCAGAAATGGAGGGCCCTTTAAAGTTCACTCTAAGAACAGGAGACCATGATAGTCCATTGTTGAAGCCAGAGTAACACAAAGAAAAAGAAAAGCCATGCATTTAGACCCCAGCTAATTCCAGACATCATCAGGGATGTCCAAAATAGCTTTCGCCAGGGCCAGGCAATGAGCAGGCAGCATCGCCGGATGCCCGGGTTCCTCAGCAGGCAGCGCTCTGGGAGGGAACATGACCCCCAAGGCAGTGACTGCCCAGCTGCACTTCAAGCCACTCAAAATGCATCAGCACAATGAATCTCTCTCGATGTTGGACGATTTAAATCTGACCTAGGAGAGCTAAAACTGAAGACTGTACTTATAATCTGTCTTCCTCAAGAGTATCCTAATAATCTGACCACAGAGAACTTTTTATCTGAGTTCAGATGTGACAAACCACCTGGTGGAGCCGCCCCCACACATCAGTGGATAGTGTTGATTGTGGGAGCCATGCCTTCCAGATGAGCTGGAGTCCACCAGAGGTAGGAGGGACTGTGAGTGTCCCCTTACTTATTTATGTTTAGGAAAGATTTAGGAATTTGCAGTTAGGTGGAAAAGTAGAACCCATATATTATTTTTAACTTCATGGACCAAAATTCACTTAAGTAGGCTTTCAGAAAGAGACCGGAATTCATCCCATTCCTCCTCTCAGAGTTAAAAAAAAAAATCTTACCTTTAAATATATTCGATTTAGTCAGTTCATCTTTTAAGGCAATTCAGTGTTTGTGAAGATCTTAGCAGATAAAAATCTCTCTGAGCGGGGACGCTCTTATAATCTATTCAGTAGTTGGCAGATTGTGGGAGGGAAAGTCGGTCCCTTCCTTTGACTTTGTCATTTATATAATTTCTAACGGGCAGAATTTTGGTTTAGGCCACAATATGTGGCCATACAGCCAGGTCTTCTTCTGGGAACCCAGGGAAAATATGGTAGCCGTCGCCAAGACTGGGAACCGCCTACCTCACATGACAGACAGAGAAATTCAAGAGCGAGGCCTTCAGCTCTGACTTCGGTCCGGGTTTCGACCTCTGTCCTACCATGAAGTTCTAACCGCTTCAGCCCAAATGTGGCCAAAAGCTGGTTAGTGAAATAAAAAGAGAAACTTCTGTTTGCCCTCTCCTATGCCAGGAAGCAGTATTTTTCCCAGACTTGTTTTGTTTTTTAAAGAAATACCAGCAAACTGGCCAAAAAGGAAACAGCAAAACTATGAGGAATGTCTTTAGGACATTTAAAAAAAAAAGGAACTAAGCAAGTTGAGAATTGAAAATATTAGACAGAAAATAGGCCGAGTCACCATTCAGAAAGTGCTCCCTAGTTCAGAAGTCGGACTCAGCCTCCAAAATGCAGAGGGTATATCTAAGGATGGGGTGGGGGACCCTGATGAACCCAGGTTCCAGAACATGAATGTGACTTGCACTGAACTTGTGCTTCTTCACACAATAAGCCATGGGCTGTGGTGACAAGGGACCCTGGCTGCAGAGCCCGGGAGTCTCCCTTGGTGGTGGGTTGGCATCGGGGGCGG